GTCTCATCTCATCTCATCTCATCTCATCTCATCTCATCTCATCTCATCTCATCTCATCTCATCTCATCTCATCTTATCTTATCTTATTGCTCTCCCCAGCACATCCAACAGCTGTACTCTGTCCTGGGCGAGATCTTCGCCTCCACCCCCCAACAGTCCCCGGACTTCTCCGTCCTGCAGCAGACGATGCTCAAACTGTCGCGCTGTGTGGGCTCAATCCTCAACCTGGGCTGTGGCGCCCGTGTGGCCAGCCTCGACTCTCTCGCCTCCTCCCAGGACTTGACCAGCAGTCAGGCCACCAGTTGCTACGGTGAGTCGTCGTCAAACAGGTTACGTCATCTCGTGGTGATTCCTCATCAAACAGGTTGTATGGTCTCTTTAAAGAAAAAGCGGGCTAACCCAGATTTCGGGGATTTCCAAAAAATTTGACCGACTCCTAAAGTGGGCATTGCCCTACCTATTGGAGATGTTTGGTTTCATTGGGGTGTATGTTTGTTTGGTTATAGAGAAAACTCTCCTTGTCTTTTAAAGAAACTGAACTAAGGGCAAAAACTTTCTCAAAACACCAATTTATGGGGGATAGTCTCTTTTTGCTTAAAAAGCGACCGTATCATGTCGTGTCACATATGGTGAATACATGCACTCATCAATTAAGAGCAAGATGTGCGACAAACTAATCGATCATGCCACCTGCCAAAAAAACAACAAACAACCTTTAAATCATTCCCAGAGGCGGGATATTAACATGTTCCTATACACAGTAGAATTGTAAATGGGCTGATTTATCTCATACTGTGCCAGGACAACATAAGGGGAACTGCTGCTTTTTCTTTCCTCATCCTTACCATCGTCATTTTTCTCTAATCCTTTTGTATGTTTGTCACTCTCTTGAGAACTGCTATTTCCGGGATGCTTTGATAGTCGAAGCAGACTTTGTGCTGTTGAGGCTAGAGAGGTGAGCAAAATAAGCCTGATTCCCCGTGTGGACTTTTCTATTGAAATCCACCCCTTAGCGCTCATATGACCTTATTATGCAGTTGCAAGCGCTTTAAAACCTTACTAACAAAAAACGATCATGATTCTTAGAACGCTCTAAAAATTTTCTAAAAGCTACATTATCCCGGTCATACGCCATCACCTATCTGTTTAGACTCTTCAAGCATCTCGCTCTGGGTGTACCCCTCTCGGGTTTACCTTTAATTTCGCCAGTGAGAGCTAGATGTTCAAGGCCTGTATCGTCCGTTAGTTTCCTTATCCGCGTACGAATCTTTCGGATACTTTTGAGAAAATATAAAGACACACTTTTTAAATTAGTCTAATATGCGCTTCAGCCTCTTGAGTTTTACAATTTGTATTTAGGTTGTCATAAATCATTGATGCAGATTAAAATATGAGAGCTGATTCCAAATATTGTGCTTAGGTCAAGTGCTTTATAACCGGAGTTTTCCCATTTTGTTTCACACGCTGATAACTAACTGCAGTTACGTTATGTCTATTCACGTGTCCCAGAAACTGTATTTATCCTTTTCCTGGCAATCTAAAGTTCTATAATTCATTATTGTGTCTCCTGATTCCACAGACTCTGGCAGCATGACGTCTTTAGCATCCAGTTGTCTGTCTGAGGAGGCAGACATGTTCTTTCCCACGGCACACTCTGAGGTTGCTAGGATACAAGACAAGCTTGTCTTTGCCCCGGATGTTCCGGTATGTATTGTTGTCTGTCTGCGCATGTACGTGTTTGTTTGAAATTGACCTTTTAACGTGAATAATCATCATGATCACTATTGTCATGATGATGATGATCATCATCATTATCCTCATCATCATCATCATCATCATCATCCTCATCATCATCATCATAAACAGCAGCAGCAGCAACAGCAGCACTACCACCACCATCATCACTACTATCATCACCTCCATCACTACTACCGCCAACACCACCACCACTACTACTACCACCTCCACCACATCATCTTCCTTCCCATACAGACATTCCAACTGTGCGAAAAAGGCAGGCGGCTGCTGCACAAAGGTGACGTTTACCGTAGCGGCGAAAGCTCGTGGTTCAAGTCCCGGCTGTTGTTGTTCTCTGACGTCATTCTGCTGGTCGACGTTGCTGAGGATGGGAGTCTGCAGGTGACCAACAGGCCTGACTATGTCCAGGACCTGACAGCTGTAGAGGTCAACAAGGAAGACGGTGAGTGGAACGACATCTTGCTTACTTACTTTACTTTACCTTATCCGTTCTCTTGTACCTCTAGGGCGTCGATGGGAGAAAGAGCTCCCCGTCTTTGGCAAGTTTGATG